TTACTTTGCATGATAGATAGGCAAAATGCGAAAAGAAAAAAAAGGCACGAAAGAAACATTGCTTTACAAACCTTAAGACCCCGAACGGAAAGAGTTAAAAAACATTAACAGCTTATACAGCCAACTTATTTTTAGTAAGAATATATTAGTTCTTAGAACTTATGAGTGAAAGCAAAGAAGAACATATGATATGTCAACTAAGTTATAGTACTAAAAATCCATTTCCAACACAGTATTTAATACCACCCTCAAGTTCTGCATGGAACTCATCCCAAGAAAATGTTTTAAGAATGTGTAGTTGTCTGCTAATGATAAAACTGGTGATGCAAGAATTGATAATAGATGAAAATACACTATCCCCGGAACTGCACAAGGGCAGTTTCATGTGACCTCTCTTGTAAATTTCTCTGGTAAAAATTAAGTCAAAATTTTGTGAAAACACTGAGCATGCTATATAAATTTACAAAGATAAAACACTACCTGAGAAGGTTTGGACATCAACTATATGACCACCATAATCCCAAGATATATATAGATACTGATATTTATACTTTAAATAGTCATGTTCTTTCAGTGGAGAAAAAAAAAACATCAGACATTTCAGTATATTCATATTTCATAAATAAACCAGTTTATACACTTCAACAAATTATAAATCAATTCTTATTTTCACTTGTTTCATTCACAGGACAACTAATTTTTATAGTAGTATTAAAAATGTAACCTGTAAAAATAAATTTTTCATTAAAAAAATGAAAACACCCAAAAAAAAGCAACCATAAAAAAATAAAAGCCAGTCTAATGCTAAATAATCATAACTTCCAGAAACTAATGTAGAAAAAAAAATATTAATAAATGGTCACAAAGAACGACTGCCCTTACTCCTGTTCGTCAACTAACTTTCAAAAAGAGGCAAGTCTGAAGTCTAAGGTGCTGCTTACACACCAAATTCTTTGGCATCATCTTCTGTGAAGTCACCATAGCACCACAAGTTCAACTGAAAGCAATAAAAGAAAATATTTTTAGTTAAAATTAAAAAAAAAATTTGTTTATTAAAAACATGAAGTTAATACTTTTATTTTGCAATCTAATTTTATTGTTTCAATATAAGAGCATTGCACCAAAGTTCAGGGCTGAACCAATTTTTAAAGGGAGACTTTGATACAACAGCAACTAGAAACATTAAATAGATACTAAAGCATTGATGCAGGGTATGTAAAAATATGTTAACAAAATTCACTAATTAATTCTTAATATTTTCCTTTATATAATGGCAGGTTCTGGAGTAGACATTTTCTTTTTGTCCTCTCTGCTGACATATAAATGTAGAGAAATATACATGCACGCAATTGCCTTAATGGGATCCATCTCTGTGTTTGTGCACTTTCCTATGTTGTACAGAATTCTATGACCAGAAAAATCTGCACAAAATCTTAGAAAGCTATCTGCATAGAAATTTTGAAGATGTGATTCTGCAGAGTATCTTCTGTGTTTAATATTTGCAGTAATGAAAAATATAAATCAATATTCGTTCAGACAATTTATGGATAAATTGCTTTCAATTTAAAATATTAAACATTTTCTCGGTAAAATCAACATAGAAATGCAAATTATCTATTCATTCATACGTTACAAATATTTCTGTACAACAGTGTAATAAATAATAGACATAATCGCACAAGAACTTAGTCAGCAAAAAATTTGTGAAACTGTTTTCTTATTAGTCTGCTCATTTTATTTTGTCATATGTATGAAATCTGAAATAGAAAATTTCTTTTATATAACAGCAGATTTACTTCTTTAATCGTTTTTACTCTAAATACATATAATTTAGTGCAGCAATCAAGGTGCAGGCCATCATTAGGGTTCTTAGTTTTTCCTTTTAAATCTTTTAATTTATCAGCCTAAATCGAGATGGCTCACTTTCTTAATTATAGTCAAATCCTATTATTTTTGTTGCATTGCCTGAATGAACCTATTATTGATTAAGCAAACTAAAAATGCATCCAATACATTTAAAGGTAAAATTGTTAATGCCATAAATCCTTCCCTTTACATTTGTTTTATTCATTCATTTAACCTTATATGCAGCTATTTGATGAGTCTATGTAGAATTAATGGGTTTACTATAGTTCCATTTTAATATGCAAGTTTTTAGTAAACATTTCATGTTTGTACACAAAAAAAAATTAGAATATTTAATAAAATATGTTTTACTATAGATCTGTTTATGCTGGGTCTGAATGCAAGTTGATTTCCATGTTAAAAATTAACTTTTTTTCATCTTGCAGATTTCATTTAGGAGGTTTTAAAGTTTTTTTTTAAATAAAACTATTTTATCTGATATTTTCTCTACCTTAATACTAACTGAAACAAAATCAGCAGTGTAGGACAATATGCAAAGTTTAAAAATACAAAATAAACTCTACACATATAGTAACAGACAATAACATCTATTCTGGCAACTAAAAGCTATTACTTTTCAAATCTCAGAGTCAAGTTACATTTACTGCCTTATATCTGTGCTAAAAATACAGTAAAAGCAATTTATCACAGTGGAGCATCTTTATGTAAATAAAGGATTGAAACAGCAGTATGCACAGCAAATTACAATCATGCTTTGCACATTTTGAAATGTGCACATCATCATCATCATTTAAGTTCATCTAATTTTTACATTTTAGTTACTTCATAACAATAAATATGTACAAATAAAACAAGAAATTTAGTAGTACTTATATATGGGCTTTTTTATTTTAGGTTTTTGCTTTTGAAATCTTGATGAAACTTAACCCTAATTTATGTATTACCAACAAAATCTGTTACAATATCTATCTGTTTCAAAAACACAGTATAGAAAGAAATACTAACATGCACAAAAAATACAACTAAAACTATTACAATTTAAATGGCTTTCTAAGTAATCTATAAGTGAGTTAATATAATTATGTTAGCTGGTCAAAGTGATCTAGTAGATAAACAATGAAACTGAGACTTAATTCAAAAATTATCATCAAAATAAGCTAGCTTTATAAAAAAATTCAGTACACTAAAATATTTTCTTTCTATTGGTAATAAATAATACAATAGCACATGTTTGGGAGAATTACATTTTGTGAAACACATGATAAGTTGGTGTGGCATGTGGGTTTGACTTTATGGTTAGTATTTCAGTAAAGCAAGATAATATGAATTAGCAATGTCTATACTATAAAAGTACATAATTTGTGCCAAATTCAGAAAGTCATACACAAGTAGAAAGAAAAATCTATAATGGACAATTCAGAGTAAAAAAAAAGTGACTTGTTGTACAAAGAGAATACTGAGAATTTATTTAAATATTCCTTTTGAAATTTAAAATGACAAAATACTAAAATATGAATTATAATCTATATTTTAGTGCAAAGTTTATTGACATACATTGATAATAAATTATTTAAATTTTAAATGCAATTCTGTGACATGTGCACTTTGACCTTCTCTCTTGCACATAGGGTTAAGTAATAAATTAACAACGTAATCAAACAGTTCAATGTGTTAGTGCTGTAAAGTCAGTCCTAACAATGATATACATTTCATCGTTTAATGCAAACAGGCTTCAATCAGTGACAATTTCTTGTACAGGGAATCATTAATTTGAGCTTCTTTATGGATACTTAAATTGGGCATTAATTTCTTAAATGAAAAAAAAATAAAAAATTTAATAACTTCTCATTTTAAAAATTGACAATTTTCAACAATAGATTTCTTCTTCTGATTGGTCATGCAGATTACATGACTATTAACTCTGTTCCCTGTATATAAACTAGACTATGTCAGACCCATACTTTACTGAATACTGATTTCTTTCATTCAAAATAATCTTACTACTTAAGCTTTATAATACTATTAGTCAGTTTAATTTTATAAACACTCCACATACATTTTTATTTTTCCTATGTAAATCTAAATCAGTGTTTAAACATCTGATGCATAACTCTCCATAATTACTTCTTTTACAATTACGAAAACAGTTTTATGTTAAACAACACGAAAATCAGTTGCATGACAAGCATGGTACACAGAAAAAAAAATCTGACTGCTATTAAAAGGCCAAATGGATATCTTTTTCCTCTTTCTAAGATTGTAAGGTCATCACTCACTCTTTCTGCCCGAGGACTACATTTTACTTTTTGGTAAAAAACTTGTAAAAATCAACAAAGTGTTTAAAATATCAGGATTTATGTTATCCTAAGACTTATTTTTATTCAATCTACTTTTGAGAGATGAGTAAAAGCTACTTAGCTGTTACAATTGTGAGGTTAAAATGTACTAGATCAAAACTTTTGGGAGACTTCAAGGTTAATACATAAACAAAATATTTAAAACATAAACACAAGAAGTCAGGATGTTATAAACTGATCTAGGAAAAGTTAAAATTTAGCCACACTTACTCTTTGTCGCCGTGCTGTTTCTTCAGAATTTTTGTACTCTGTGATAACTTTCTGTAACCTCTTCTCCTTTCTGCTTTCAACCATCAACAACCCTTCAGATATGAGGTTTTTCAGAATGTCTTGTTTCTCCTCTGATGTGTACAGAGTTACATACTCAATACCACCAACTCTGTATTCTGAATTTAGCAAAAGGACCCGGTTATCTGTGTCTTGAATTAGAGCATTTCGTGTCTCATCTAAAAGTTCTGACTGTAGAGAGTAAAATACATTTAAGGAATTTAAAAAAAAAAACAGTGATGGTTTTTCTTAGTTATATAAAATGTACACTTTAGCAAGTTATATTTCTTACCATTGTAAAGGGTAAATATAAAACAATTTTATTGGTTCCCCAGGCTGCTTATCTTGTTGAAGTACTTCTTACTACGCCATTTGCTTTTTACTATACAAAAACTCTTGCCAGTAACTGATAACTTTTAAATCTTACATTGGACTTCACTTTGGTATTAGCTTAAGAGTTTAGTGCTGGGGTGGGGCTTTTTGAACCAGCTGTACACAATTTGTAAGAGGAATGCAGCGGTAACTTGTAAGTTATTGTAAAATAAGCACTATCTATTTATATTAGCTTTAATGATATGCAAGGTATTTTACTGCAATATTTCAACATAACAGTACTGATATAGTTATGTTTACTGGTGATTTTTATTCCTTCTTTTTATTATAATAAAAGGATTGTAGCAATTCCTTTAATATTGAGGACATAAATACACCCCACTTTAATAATAAATTGATCAATTTTACAAAAACAAAGGTTGTTACATATTGATACTGAAAATTAAAGCTGGTACATGTAAATCAACAATTTCTACGCATTAAAAATCATAAGAAACAATAAACATGACTACATCTAGTTTGGGTGTATCCAAAGGCTACAGCTATTCTATTTTTAGTATTTTTACAAGACTACCTCTAGTTTGTTAGTTGTTTTTACAAGACTACCTCTAGCTTATTAGTTGTTTTTACACGACTACCACTAGTCTGTTAGTTGTTTTTACAAGACTACCTCCTGCTTATTAGTTGTTTTTACAAGACTACCTCCTGCTTA